ATCCAAAAGAAAAGTTAACCAAAATCAAACGAAATAAAACAAAAACAGATGGTGAATGGTGTAGACTAGATATGAGAGGACGGAGAACAAAGAAAAAAAAAATGATACAAACCACGAGCCCGGACCCTTCCTGCGGCTAGTGGGTACTACGTTGCCCTCCCCGAGGGACTTCAATCCATGAGCCCGGATCCATCGTGCGGCTGGTGGAAATAAGGTTGTCCTCCCATAGGACTTTTCCTCTCAAGAACTCACACAGAGATCAAGACAAATGCTCTAATTCTTTTTTTATTAATAATCCATCATTGATCTCATACAAGAGCAAGAGCCTCTATATATAGGCCTTAAAAGAAATGAAAAGACAACTTTGCCCCTTGGGCTTACATAAGACGACCCTTAAATAAGGTAAAAATGTAAAATGCATAATTAAAAAATAAATATTACAAATAAAATTTAAGATAACATAGGACGATCACGGCCGTTGATCTTCAACTCCTCGGATAGGCATGAACGGTTGGATGTCCGCACCAATTATGCTTCAAATATTACCATCCAAAGACAAAGAGATATCTATGCTCAAAGAGCAAGCATGACTTCACCAAACAATTCTCAAGACGGTGGTAACTTCAAAATTAATCTTAATGTATTAAAAAAACTTAATTAAAATAGCAATTGGCCTAATTTATTCATAAAAATATAATATTTCCATCAGATTCAAGTACTAGAGTTAATAATGAAAAAATAGTAGAATGCAACCCTATGTGCTCAAAATTATCTATCATAAAGGGCATCATAATTATGCTCACTGCAATTGAACAACTTTGCAATATGAGCTGCCAATATTTAGTTGTTATAATGGTGATATTAAGTTAATAGGAACTAGTACTAATGGTAAGGTTTATCACTTATCCACTTAATTATCATATAAATTAATATATTTAGAAATAAAGTCATAGCATGCAATAGTATGTTCTCAAATATTTAAAATTTTTTGGATTAAGTGTTGATCTTGGAGCCTAATAAAAAAAATTGTAAATTTAAGCTTGGGAAGCTAAATTTGCAAATTAAAAAATTGAGTAGGGGATAAGTTGCAAAGTTGCAATTTTATAAGTAGGGGTGGGTGGACAAATTAGGATAGGAAAGAGATTTGCGTGGAGGGAATCTAGAAGATTAATTAGCATTGTCTCCCTAATTTTCTTCAACTATTTCTATATGGCCGACCACCCTTTTTAAGGAGAGCTTCAAGGGAATATTCTCATTATTTATTCTATGATTATTTATATTTGAATAAATGTAGAAAATCTAGAATATGGATTTCTAAATTTATTTAATTAGTGGATTTTGAATAGAACTGACTCCAATATTTCTATAAATAGGAGGCTTTTAGGATTTGAAATCAAATTTGAAGCAATTTAATGACTTTCCTCATCAATTTCTTTCTCCCTCCAATATTCGACTAAGGCTGTCTAGGTCCCCATTCTTTTTTTTTTTTTCATTGGCACACACCCAAGGGATGCGAAGCCCTAGGAAATGGGTTCCTTAGTGTATGGATGCTCCTCTCTCTTGGATTAGGAAATGCTCATATTGTTTCATGAAATACTTATTCTCTTGTTTTAGTAGTTTTTTTTTACTAGTTCCCCAGTCTTCCATATATCCCGATTTCAAATAAGTTGTTATCACAGTATAGCTTCAATTTGTTGGAAGGTTTGTATAAGATAAAGGAAAAATCTTTAGGAAAAATAATCTAGGTAGTTCTAAGAGGACAAAAACCAATCAATTGGGAGAAGATAAAATTAAAATCAGTTTGAATGAATTCAGAGAGTGCTTCTCCATTTTTTTCCTAGATTATAAGTCAAAATATATAGCCGGCCAGAAGAATATCATGATGGTTGCTCTTGACAGCTCGTCACTGAGTTGGCACCACAACCCAACATGAAGAAACTAAGAGTCAATCCGTAAAGAGAGATGATGAAGTTGAGAATTAACTAAGAAACACTTCTTCCTGATATCTGTTCACTAACTAGTTCACAGTTTATGCATGCATCCAAAAATTAAAAAGGTACCTTAGGTGTTGAATTTGAGACCTTCCATCACGAACCAACATCAAATCGATCCCCATAAAACAAGATATTAAATATAAAAAACATTATTATACAAAAAATTCCCAAAATTTGCTGGTCCCTTCATGCACAGAGTAGCCACACTCTACACCAAGCTAGCTATGGGGCCCCAAATTCAAGCTCAACTCAAGCTCACAAAGAAGCCAACATTGTATTATTACTTCTAAAGCAAACAAGGGTCAAAATTCTAGCACTAGTGAGGATGTTGCACATACCCTTGAAATCGGGTAGTTGTCCTGATTGTGACAAAACTGCTATATTATGGTCACATTCAAATCCCAATATAGTTTCCAATGGCTATGAATTGATCTTCTAGTATGTTTGATGTATTTGGTAGGGTACAAAGCTACCATGGTTGGCCACTTTGACAAGCTTCCACCATTTGTCTATTTCTTTTTTTGTACAAAACAACTCATGTTATTAATAAGGATTCTTCGATCATGATGGGTCAACTATCCCTCCTACTAAATAGATCAGAGCTTAAAGGAAACCCGAAATGATGGAACCATGAGGTATTAATCAAGTTTGCTTCCCTCTTCCACATCCAATATCCCCTAAGTTTTATAGAAACAGCATATATCAAAATTTTTAAGCAAGGTGAATTGCATGGGAAGTAAATACAATGCAAAATCTAATCAGAGTTTCACTACTAAATTAAATATTTTCTCCCATGAACTTGAGTGCTATTTAACTATATCAACTTGTATTTATGAAAAAAATTTGAATTAGAATAAGTCCTCATTTGTGAGATAAATCATTAAGTAGTACTTTATTAACTTGTTATTCTACTTCTTGAATATAATTCTTCCTTAATTCCTATAATGTGAGTGTTGCTTTTTAGAGTTCACAGTGTCCTGATTATTCCATGACCCATGGACGATTATTTATGAGGATGATCCTTAAAGATAAGATAATATTACAATTAATCATTCAACATAATATCAAATATATCCTAAGATGGCCATATCACATTATTGTCCTTAACAATTGAAATTAAGACAATCAAAGACATGACATAATTAATACATAAACATATATGATCACATGAAATTAATAATAACATGATAGTGAATCTAAAGTTGTTAAGACATGATCTGTAACACAATTCATGATGATGGTCCACCATCAAGTATCCTCTCTACTTTGTATCCAGTAGTTTCACAGAATTTCTTCAACTACTTTATGTCATACTTTCCTCTATATTTGACTTTATATACTGATGATTATTTTTCAAAATATAAACTCATAATACTCTAGTCTAGTCATTGATGAAAGAGATATAATATAAATGAACTATCTAAAAAAGATGGCCTCTAGGATCCATTTGAGCTCTCTATAATTTCTAAAAGTGATTGTAGAGATGTTGTGAGGGAAATAATTTTTTTGAAAATTATTATGAGCATTATAAATTTTTTTTTCTCATAAAAAGTTAGATAATGGCTTTTTAATTGCTATCAAATTACATCAAATTTAGTTGTAAGAAGTTATTTTTCATCGGGAGAATTTTTGAAATTTAGCAAAAATTATAGATAAATAAAATTGTGATAATTTTTTTTCTAAAGAATAATCTGAAAAAGTTATATCAATTGGCACCCAAATGCTTGCGTGCATAAACTTTTACTTTTTAGTTTTGGGCTCCCTTTCAGCATTTAAAAAATTGATATTCTCTTACTGTTCAAGCATACATGTCTTATAAAAATGAAAATAAAGAATAAAAAATTTAAATGGTACGTGTGAATGCAAAGCACTCATCTCTTTCTCATTCATACCTTTTTGCAAGATTTTCTTGCCTGTGTATGACCGCATAGAAAAAAAATTATTTTAATTGACAATAATACTACAACAACAACAATAAGTTTGTATCCTACTATGTGGGATTGGCTACATGAATCCTTTTTCTCCATTTTGTCTCATTAAAAGTCAAATTTTCATTTAAATCTATTAAAAAAATCATTTTTAATTCTTTCTAACCAAGTAATCTCTATCATTCTTAACATAGGCCCATAATTGAGAATAATAGTATAACACATCACAATTTTCTATTGCACAGTTCTCTAGATTTAAAAGAAGGTTAATAAGTGACCTTATTACATTATAAGAGAATTTTTAGAGCATTGACATAAAAGAAATCAAGATTCATAACCCACTTTACAACATTCTAAAGTTTATAGTACTCTCACATTTGCCAGTGGCACTATTGAGTTTGTCTTTGGCACAGTTTACAATAATGCACTGTTGTGCAACCATCGCACTTCTCGAAAACATGAAATTCTCCTGCTGCTTCTACATACACCCCAGCACTGTTGGGATAGTTCGCTGACCTGCTTCGTCAAACTCCCACAGGAACACTGTGCTGAGGTTAACCATAATTCAAATATGAAAGTAGGCAAGACCATACAAGGGGCCGCCGGAAATGACCCATAGCCCAAAAATCATTATTTAAACATAACATGGCAACTGGCTAAGGAATGCTTATGGAACATACCAGCCAAGAAGGCTTCGAAATAATTCTCATTTGGAAAGCTATAAACATGTATTTGCATTTGGATACAAGAAAAATACAAGAATGTTCATGATGATTACGAGAAACTTCATAATAATTTCTAATTGGACCATGCCAATTGGCTGAATACAAGAATTTTGCGTGTTTGTCCAGCTGACGTTCTATTACATATACAAACCTAAAAGAAATATAGGAAATATTATATGGTAACTGGACTGTGATGATGAACAACTTTAAAGTGGTCATATATATATATTTACTAGTTGGAATTGTAACGGTTGTATGTGTGGTTTGCAATATTGTTTGATTATGGCTGCCTGGGTATTGGCTGCTTTGCTTTTATGATATATCTGGACCGATCCTGCTTGTTTATCATGCAGAGGATTTAACATCAGCACATTCTGAAGGAAAAAAACAAAAACTCTTCTTATGGATGAGAAAACAGCTATGAATGTGGAGTTTCTCCGAGCAAGATTGCTTTCTGAAAGAATTGTTTCTAAAACTGCAAGACAGAGAGCTGAGATGCTGTCTCAAAGGGTATACTATATATTTTTTATTTAATGAATCGACTTGTTTTTTTAAATTATTCATTCATCTTTTTATTTCTTGTTGATAGGTTATTGAGTTAGAAGAACAGCTCAGGATAGTGAATATCCAGAGAAAGAAAGCTGAGAAGGCAGCTGAAGAAGTTCTGTCCATACTTGAAACTCAAGGAATCACATGCATCGCAAGGTTAACTGATCCAAGCACTGACCAAGAGAACAATCAGCTTACTGACCAAAAGGGAAATCAGTGTACAATAAGTGATGATGTCAAAGAGGATAAATTTCTCACATCCTCCGGAATGGATGGAAGTGAGGTTGATGATGGCTTATCATGTTCAGCTATTGATGGCTCTCCATCTGATTACAATTGCTTATCTTGGAAAAGCCATGGTAGCAGCCTAGACTCTCACTCTCAGGAGAAGCTAAAAACAAAGCAGAATAGACATAAACATAGGAGTAGCTTCATCGTTACTGTGAAATCCTCCCAGCGACGCCCTGGAAAGTCATGTCGTAAGATAAAGAGGTCTGATATAGGGTAAGCTCTAGGCATCTCTTTTCTTCATGAATTCTCTTTTTATTTGAACATATACCATATGCTATTATTCTCTATAGCTTTCTTGGTGTTTTTTTTCTTCATGAATGCGTACTTACAGATTACTAGCCTCATGATATCATTTTAAAACTTTGTCCCTTTGATACAAAGTTATTTGTGATTTAAATTGCTTACATGGTTTTAAATAATATTTGATTCTGTCTTAAAAGTTTGTTTCTAACCCAAAGAGTAAGTTGTTAATTTCTATTTTAACAAAGATACATATGTGGACAATTTAAAGATCCGTACTTAAAATGCTTTGGCTGAGATTTATTTTCTTAAAAGTTTGGGCTGAGTTTTGATGTTTCCTCACGTCGATTGTGTCAGCTTCATTTTGGCATTTAACTTAGTTTCAAAGAAAATTGGCCAAAATGCTAAATAAACCAAAACCAAACCTTTCATTTGATTTCAAGTACGTCTTGTAAATGGATGCAAAGCTACATTTTACTCTGGGCCAAAATTGAAAGTCATTTTATAGATAATGCCAGGTTTGGCGGACAGGTGGATGGCTCAAAAGTGGCAATTTTTGAAAATAAAATAAACATATTTATTAGTAGCAATTTACGTTTTTCTCTGTTCCAGATCAGCTTCAGACAATGAATTACAGAAAGCTACCCTTCTTGATGATCATGGAGATGGACTTGTTGCGCATTCTGGTGGTTTTGATGAAAAACGTGAATGCCCTTTGGAAGCTTCTAAAAGCAAGATGGACAAATTTTCTGTTGATTCTTCTTTATCATTTTATCCTGATGGTCGAAATAGAGAAACCAAAGTTGGTGGTGGAAAAGATGATATGGATAGAGCCCTGGAGCAGCAGGCTCAGCTTATCATTCAGTTCCAAGCTATGGAGAATGCTCAGAAGGAATGGGAAGAGAAATTTAATGAGACTAAGATGAAAATGCTGGTATGAATCTTCCGCATTAAATGGGAAGATGATGAGTTTTTAATGCTATATTCATTTTCTGCATCTGTTTCATGAAGACAAATTACTTTGTATGCCAGAACCTCAGGTATTTCTGACATTTATACATAATCAAGTTCTTTTTTTGGAAATATTGATCAATACTTGGGGCATGTTTGTTATAATGGGAAACTAGCTGAACATATAACCATATAGCTCATTCGAGTACCTTTTTTGCCCTTCTATCTTTGGGAGTACTGGAAATCTTTCCAGTAACTTTCTCCCATATTTTTAAGTGCTTGCCGAGCAAATAGAACTTATTGAGGTCAAAGGTGAATATTTCCATTTCTTTCCTAACTTAATTCATCTTTCCTTTTTTATTTCTTGGGGTTCTGGGGTAAGCTTGCATTTCTTTTGAATGCGGAGGTCTGATTGCTAACTGAAATCATATATATATTGTTTTTTTGACACTGAGACTTTCCTTTAGCCCTTTATCCCCATTAGTTGATATCGTGATATTTTGAATATCAGTAGAAATGATTTTTACCCTGCATTCAATTATAGCTGAAATTGTCTAATCTAGAGCCATTTGGTCATTAGACCTAGTTCAAATAATGCACTTTATGAATATATGCCAATGGAAATAAATCTGGATGATTTATGACTAGATATACTATTTGCACGGCACCTCATCGATCTATGTGAATGCCACCTCATCAATCTGTATGCATCAATTTATTGTAATTAATTGTATAATAAATTTCAACTCTTGATTTTGTATATTTCTTATGTTGTAATTCTCCTAGGTTTGTATAAATAGTTAAATAATGGAATAAAGCTCATGCAATTCAACCATCAAATATTTGTTTCTAATCATTTGACATGATATTAAGGTCCTAATATTGTGTTTGGTTGCTCTTTGTTCACTCAGTGAACTCTTGGATCTCTAGTGAATCCATTGACTTTGTTCACTCAGTGATCCTGTCATTCAACTTGTGCCCAAATCCCTCGAGGATTCGCTCTGTGTCTAAATCTCGATTGGCATCCTTGCTCTCGAGCTTTGTAGAACTTGCATAGGACCTTTGTCTTGACCTTGCCGCACGAGATAGCTTTCCATGAGATGACCTCATGAGGGGCCTTCTTTCATATCTCATCTTTGTTTGGTCCTTCGATTTGTCTTGCATGAGATCAATGCTCATTCTAGATTGCACGATACAACTGTCTTCACAAGATATGACTAACTCATGATTTGATCACTTGAGCCTCACAACGTCCAGATCTTGAATCAGCCATGCCTTCATGTCGTCTTCTCATGACACGGCTGTAGTTGCTATTTTTGTCTCTGTAGACTGATTTTGGTTTGATACACACTGATCTTATCATGAATAATGCCTCAGGTTTGCTCTGGACTAGGTTGGGTTGTTTTGTGGCTTCCGTGAAGGTTCTCTTGTTCTTTGGATAAAATCAGTTCTGATTATTGAGAGATTTCAATCGTAAACAACTTCTCCACTCTAAGTTCATTATATAAACTATGACGAATACATCAACCAATAATTTGGATGTTTTCGGTATAAATATCGTAGATCAAATTTACTTCACTTGGAATTTCAATTTTGATTGTTTGTTATGGGAAAAGAATTTTGGGGGCACATTGATAAAAATGACGCCACTTTGCCTGAACAAACAAAACTTGCTCTTGCAAAATAAAGGCGCAAGGTTTACGACATGAATTTTATGATATGTTAATCAGGTGATTTTTCTCAATCTGAGGTCATATAATTGCTAAAGATATGTGGGAATATTTTCAAAAAGTTTACAATTATGATAATGCAGCCAAATATTTTTAATTTGAATATGATATTACGAAGTATACTCAAGGAGACCTCTCAATTTAGAATTATTTTTTAAGGCTTTAAAATTATGGATAGAATTAGCTGATATAATTTATGCAAAAATATCCTCTGAATCTCTTTTAGCTGTTCAAGAGGTTCATGAATTGAACAAAAGAGATTGAGGTGGTTCATTCTAATTTTATGAATCTTCTCCTTTGGAGATGCTTTTTAGGGAATTACTTTGTGAGGAACGACTCACAACATAAACAATATTTTAACATCAAACACGAGAGTGCTATCACACATGTAGCTCAAAGGAGGAATACAGGAAAAGACATGTGTGGGCTCCAAACATTTGGCCCTGTCCTCCGCCCGCTTGATTTTTCTTCGGGGGATGTTTAACGGCATTAAGTTCCAGGGTAAATTTTGGGAAGATGGGTTTCTAGATAAGACACTACCTAGAGATTTCGCCCTCATTTTGCGAGGATTTATGATCTGGGTTCTGCTTTCCTATAGGCGCAAGCCCCTATGGTTAATTACCCCTCTTGATCACGAGAGAGAACTTTCGATTAAAGCTAGTCGTCAATCAGATACGTAGAGATATATAGTATATGGCATAAAGTAGCAGCATGGGCTTAGGAATTTTGGAATTTGAAGGGTTACAAGATTTGATATTTAAAATAGAAGTTTTACTATCTCATACTTAAAGCGGATGGCGGGGTTATGGATGATGGACCCGAACCAGATCCCACGGTTCCATCATCTCAGGCCATCGTGGTCCTTGGTCTACTTAGTCAGAGGAGGTAGTTGACCAACCTGATAGAAGGATCCTTGTCGGCAACCATGGGTTGCTTCGTCCAAGGATACTTTGTAGATCTGAAGTGAATGTTTGTCTAAGGGAAAAAATTTGAATCCACCTTAGTTAACAGAGGGCTTTATACCCTAATGATTATATCATATTGATTCATATCTCAAGGATTTGATGAAACTAAGGAATGTATTGGCTCTGGCCATAAATGCTATTTCGTGGTGCCATTTGACGGCGAAACCATTCAGTTCAGAAGGCCCCGGGTCATAATCGTTTATCCTGCGGTGCCATTTGATGGCAAAATCTCTGGGTAGTGTCTTGACCCGAAAGGCATTTTGAATAATCCGTTCTTCATATTATAGCATGATGATTTGCAGTTAAATTTTGATTCGTTTCTTTCTTCCGCTGTAGCTTTGTAGTATGCTAAAATTTAGCAAAATTGTTATTATCCTCTGTAAATTTCTTTGTTTTGTTTGGTTGTGAACCTCAGGACAATCCTGAACCAGCTAACCAGGTTAATGTCCTTGAAAATAGCAACTGCTCTGCAGACAACTCCAAGCTTGTTGCTTGGATTCCACAACATGAAGAGGAAGAAAAAATAAGTGTTAAAGATATTTCTTTCACTGAGGATAAAAATGCTGCAAGATGCAGAAATTGTGAAATGAACGAAGAAAAAGTAGCGAATGATAAGTTCTCCTCTGGCATATTATCAACATCGATCTCAACCCCCAGCAATAATGGTTCTAATGGCTGCATAAATGGCTTGTTGAACCCGATTCATGAATCTACTACAATCAATGTGATTGAAACTGTTTCTAAATCTTTCACATTTCCATCACAGGACGGCTCTGATTTGACAAGCAAGTTGAGTCTTGGATCAAAATTTGAGAAATCTAATACTGGTTCAGCCACAAATTTAAAAGTGCATTCACATGATCAGGCTGTTCATCAGAGTTCATCGAAGAAGCTCTACGCCCCAGATAATAAAAAAATCCTCTGCAGATTGGAAATACCAGAAAGCCTAATAGAAGAGCAATATAATACAATAACGCTTGACGAAGCTAACCATGCTACTCAGATATTCACAATTCCATCACAGGAAAGTCCTGGTTTGGTTGCTAGCAGGCAGGATCTCAAAGGATCAATTTATGAGAAGCCCAATACTGTAATTCACAGGAAGTCAAAGGTGAATTTTCCAGAGCAGGCGATATTTCATTCTTCATTAACAGAGAAACTTAAACCTTTTACAGGTGAAAAATTATCTAATAAAGAGTTGCCAGAAGTTGAAGAATTTCCTAAGCGGATATCTCGGCCGACCAGCAGCAGCTTGGGAGGTGTGCTGCAGTCGCTTCATCGAGCAAGGATGTCATTAAGGCAGGAACTAGTTAGAAGGTCTGATCCTGCTCAAAGCACCTTGACTGTTCCTTCACCTACAAATTCTCCAATAAAACCTGATGTTCCAATTGATTCTTCAGTATTGTTTAGGCTACCCTCTGATTCCTTCCCTCAATCTGTCTCTGGATCAAACATTTATGGTTCTGGATTAAGGGCAACCACTACTCGGTCCGACCTCGGGTTCACAAACTCTGCTGTTTTGGCTGGCAAGGAGTATCTGAATCGATCTGCCGGAGCTTCGTACCTTCAACCTGGATCTAATGTTTCTTTTAGCAAAGATTTTGGCGTTCAATACCCCTTTAGTCCATATATGGATGCGTATTTGAACAACTACCCTACTACTAGATTTGTTGAATCTGAGACTGTCAAGGAGTATTTTGATAGACACTCAAATTCAAGTATCTCATCAGCATCTGCCACTGACCGTCCTCTTTATTACCCAGATTTGTCTTCAAAGAAACTTTCTCTGCGTAATGAAATCTCAAAGACTTCCTCAGATTTCAGAAGTAGAAAGCCTTACACCGATAGATTCAATTACGGCAGAACATCACCTTCTCCAATTTGATAAGTTGGATGTCACTGTGATGTTTGTTTATGTTATCTCTGTAAGTTATTATATTTCTTCTTTTATAGAGTTATAATTCATCTGTGCTCATTTTGTTTTCTCTTCCTTGTCTGCAACATATAGAACAACACTGGATTTTTTAAAATTTCAGTCCTCTACTGTTATAAATTTGAGTAGATATGTTAAACTATTGCTTTTGTTCAGTTTAGGGTTTAGCTTACAATATTGTTGTAAGCCGCTGTAATGGCTAAATTCTGGTAATCAGATGTGTTTAAACTTATAAAGAATGTGAAAATATTTCATATATTGATTCAAGTTGTTATTGTTCATATTTACGTGCAATTTGTATTGTTCATTTTTTACCTACAAATATGCTTTAGTGATGGATGTTTAACAACATATATGGCTCGAGTTTGCCTATGGTGGAGCAATATAAAGTTGGGTGTTGGAAGAAATGAAATGGTTCCATTTTATAGGCATGAGAGGAAACTTATGCACATGAGAAGTTATATGGTAGTCATTGCAGTATTTTTTTTTTTTTTTTAACGATTCTATAGCTTAAATGGGATATAAAGGTCAACATTGATGAGCCATGATAAACTTCTAAGTTTAATAAGGCTCCTAATTTTTCTATGGCACATGCAAAAAATGATAATTGACGTGTCACAAAAAACCTCCTTGATCAAGCACATATCTCAAGGCATGTTCAAAATGAAAGTTTTCAAAATTAAATTAAGGATCATCTGAACTTCGATTTCAGCAAATTTCTAATCAAACTGAATGTTTCGACAAGAGGAACTCAATGACACCAAATCAGTCCAATTCAAGCTCATTTGGGCCTGAATCAGTCAAAATTATTTGCCTGACGCTTATTTAGAAGCTTCAAGACAATAGTTAGATAATTAAATTATCTTTAAAAATGACATGCTTATATTTGAATCGAGAAGCTAGACATGATGAATCCAACATGCCCAAAATCACATAATTCTGACATCATTAAGATGCTTAAATATTTAATAAATATTATATGACCGAGGGAATCAATGTGGGTTGTTTGATATAACACTTCGAATTTATTCTGGATCTTCTCCATATTTATGGGGCATGCCACTACAAAAAATTTATGAATAGGCCCCCATACTTTGCATGAGGGGAGGTTGGGACCTAGGGCTAGAGATTTAAGATAGCTATGAGACTTGAAAATTCCTGGAGCTACACCCAAGTACCACCACCTGCGAACCCTTGCCACGTGGCCATTATCTTTAAAATTTCACTTACCAACACTCGTCGGACATCCACCCAACCGCTCCCGCTATAGAACCTCAGCCCTTCTATTATTAATGGAACTCTACCAGACCATCACCATCAGACATCCATTTGGCAGCCGCTGCTGGACCCCTACCCAACCATTACTGTCAAACCCCTTATTATTGACACTAGTTCTCCGCCAGACCTATGTATCCTGACTACATTACCCCCATACCTTTATCGCCTAATTACTATAGCCCCACAAACCTTCGTCGCTTGACTACAATCCTATTTGTTGCAATTCTGGAGCCCGAACCTATATTTTGATGATTACAAATATTATTGAAGTTTATTTGGCTTCTTGTACTTTTTGTTATTTCATATATATATTTCTGTGTGTATTAACATTTTAGATACATTATACACCAAGCACTGCCAATGGATTAGGGCTTAAGATTGGGCAGTAAAGGATTGATTTTTTATAAGAGTATGTATTTTTATCTTTTCTTGAGTCAATGTATTATAAGTGATGTATGATAGCTTAGTAATCGTGCATACACACGATGGAGTAAAAATAAAAGTATTTTATTTTTTATAAATCATATTGTATTATTTCGATCGTACTATATGATCTGTTAAAATAAAAATTAATTAAAATATTTTATCTAAATTCAAAAAATATTATTTTAAAATATAACTAATCATACAATATGAACACCACTCCGTACTAGAAGATCAGCTATAATCAGAAACCTCACCGTTGAATCTTTATTTACCTAAAATAGGCAAATTTGAATTTTAAAATTTAAACTATTCATATTGTATGAATCATTTCCTACTGTATGATATTTTAAATAATTACCTAATTAGGTTAGTTAATTGACAATCAAATTGGATCTGATTGATTACAGATCATATTGTATGATACTATATTATATTGTATGAATCATAGTCTCTGAATGAGGTTTGGTTTATCTAGTACAATCCAAAAATTGTACCGTCTGAATCAGTCAAGGGTTCTCTCGATGATTTTTTTTCATCTTGTACGATTTGATCTTGAGTTGAACTAATCGTACTATAATATTGTTCATTCGTACAGTACGATCAGTTAAAGTATTTTAACTGATCATCATGTATGTTATTCATCATATAGTATTACATTAGTAGAATTATACTAACCATACAGTACGATTAATAAATCGTACTATACGAACAATGACAGCTAAATTAAAAATTAGAATTTTCATGGAGCCTTGTATTTAAACAACTCTTATTTCATTTTAAAGAGTCTTTAACAGTCAAGGGGGCTAGAGTCTTCTGTGTGAGAGAGTTTGAAAGGTAAGCTTTGGGCTTGGAGAGAAAGGTGTGTTGAGAGAGAAAGAGAGAATACGCTTGTGGGATTAAGGGAGTGTGAGAGAGGGAGTTTTCACACGGTTGCTCCAATCATCATCCACTTTCTTCCTTCATGAGTTAAAGTCTTACTTGAGGAAAACTTCGGGAAGAACCTCTTAGAGTCAAAGAGCCATTGAGAACTCTGCCGCACAAGGAGGGTGAAAGGATTATGATTCTCTATCTTACCAGGAGGGTGAAACAAATTTTGGTTATCTACCTTACTAGGAGGGTGAAATGGATTTTAGTACTTTATCGCATCAAGTTAATGGAAGAGATTTTTTAACGAATTATCCGCCTTGTTGTGGGGGCAAAAGGAGATTTCCTAAAAGTTAATGCAATACTCATAGTGGAGGACTACGGGGAGTGGATGTAGGCTAAGTTTTGACCCAATCACTATAAATTTGATGTGTTCGTTCTTATCTTTCAGTTCTTAATTTTTTTGCACGCTTACGTTCTTGCAAATTCAAATGAAAATCTGTGTGAATGATTTTGGATTTATGTTTTTGTTATTTAAAAAATCAAATAAAAATCTTAAAATATAATAAAGAAGAAAAATATCTTTCTATTTGCTTTTCTACAAAATAAAAAGTCGAAAAAAAAAAAACATTATTTGATTTTTATCATTTAGCCTATGCATTGCAAGATCTCAATTTTAACTTAAGTTTTGAATTTGGTTATAATTTTTAAAAAGAAATTTTTGAAAAAAAGGAGAAGTTTTTTAATTAATCTAAATTCACCCCGCTCTTGATGTGCTGTTGTAGTTCAAGTGGTCTAACACTCACAAATTGAACTTTCACCACCGACCTACCTTCGTATCCCATTGACTATTGCAACTTATCTATTGTATTGCATTAATAAGTGAAAGACATTTGTAGTTGTACTTTTTTTTATTTTTTGTTTCTTTTTATTCGAGCTACACAAGATTTGAAACCCATAGGACACATAGGTTGGTTGAAAAATGATCTTTTCTAGACTATGAAAATTTGAAATCATTAGCAATTTTTATTTTATTTAATGAAAATTATGAGCACATAGAAAAAGGACTATTGTCTGTTATATTATAAAAAAGAAGTCATGTATTTGGATTAATTATGTTTCATCTATTTTAGACCTTGCCAAAAAATTAGAGCTGAATGATTTTAACCTTTTTTTTTCGACCATATATCTAGGTTTCAACCCTCATTTTTAATACTACTAAATTATTTAAAATTTTAAAGATTGCATCAAAACTTTAATTTTTATTGCATGCTAGAAAATTTATATTGATAGAGAGTTTATATCTTAGCTTTGCACAAAGATCTTCCATAAACAACTAAATTTAGCTTTGCACAAAGATCTTCCATAAACAACTAAATTTAGTGAAATAAAGGATTCATAAAAAGAAATGCCAAGTTTTTATGTAGAAAATTAGGATATAATACAATTATGAGGTTTGATCTTATTGAAATACTTCATTATATAATTAAGATTATAAAGTACACTCTTCCATTGAATTGGAGAAAACAAGATTACAAAGTATGGAACACATGGCTTAACCTTCTATGAATGTAATGGAGAACACTAAAGATGCAATGAAAATTGAACGATTATTGTGTGGCGGCAACCGGGTGAAGATGATTGAATTATTATAGCTGGATGATGGAAATTAGATGATGAGTGGCAAGTTAAGGTGGTTAGGTGATACTAGTCAGGTGTTGGCGACCTCATGAAAATTGTCCAATAACGAGAGTTATGTTGGTCTTACAACAAAGAATGATTTATGATAGTCAAGCGATAGTGATTGTTGTAGTCTTTGTCATCATTGAGTGACAGATAGGGCATTGCTGTTTTTTCATCTCCTAAGCTCTCCACCAACTCAGGTCCTTCTCATATACAGAATGAGAGTTTATTTATAATTTTTGGGAATGATATTTTGATAATTTTAGCCAAAATTCAAAGCAGTACATCAAATAACTCATGTTTTTTTTAGTTGAAACCCTCAAAATTGCCTACGCGTTAATAACAAAATTTGGTTACATAGTCCTTAGAAGGATCCTCCAGGCTCCCTACTGCTCGAAAGAGCTACAAGATAAAAAGAAATAAAACCTACGAGCCGGTGGTTCTTTTTTCTAATATTACAAAAAAGGTCTAATAAGAAAAAAATGTTGTGAGCAAACAACATCCAAAAAAGGAGGGTCCTAATGATCACATTCAGCACATCCCTCTTGCAAAAAAGCAGAGCAAAATATAGATGCAAATAAAAGAACCAAAATAGGGGTACCTTGCTCATATAGAAGCTCTTGAGCCCAAAAATTTCCCTGCAAGAGACACTCCCCACTAACAAATTAGACATAAAGTAGTAAGAACTCATTCTATAATGACTCTTACCAAAAAAAAACTGGAAATAAAGCTTACACCAAAAAACCAATCCAGCAAAATCCAGTAATAACCCGCTAAATCCCAGCATTTACCATATAACACAAACACATAACTCAAACCATCAGCAATATAAGAGGATAAGAACCTCACCTCAATTAACTTCCAGTTTTCACTCAGAAAAATAAACCAAATGAAACAGCAGCTAATAGGGTAGAAATCCAAAGAAATCGAGGCTGCATCCAAAAAACCAGCATACATACAGCTCCAACCATAAAAAAACATAACAACCCAGCCGCAAAAAACCAACCAAAAATAGATAAAAAACATTAAAGAGCT